CACTGGAATGGGTTCCCTAGGGAGGTGGTGGAATCTCCTTCCTTAGAGGTTTTTAAGCTCAGGCTTGACAAAGCCCTGGCTGGGATGATTTAGTTGGGAATTGGTCCTGCTTTGAGCAGGTAGTTGCACTAGATGACCTCCTGAGGTCCCTTCCAACCCTGATATTCTATGATTCTATGATTTTCTTTTCGGCTTCAATGACTTTCCATTTACTTTAATGCCCCACCATTGTGTCTTCCTGGCTGGACAATGGATGGGTACTTGATATTGGTTTTGTGTAAACAACTAGCCTGCGGGGGGGTTGGGGGTGCCCTGCCAGGAGTGGCGCCAGGGTTTTTGCCGCTCTAGGCGGCAGCGCTCCTCCTCTGAGCATTCGGCGGCAGGGGTCCTTCCACTCCGCGTCTTCGGGGCATTTTGGCGGCGGATCCCGGAGCGAGTGAAGGACCTACCGCTGAATTTCCGCTGAAGACCCGGAGCGGAAGGACCCCCCCGCCGCTGAATATCCGCCGAGGATGGCAAAATGCCGCCCCCCAAATCCTGCCGCCCTAGGCGACCGCCTAGGGTGGCCTAGTGGAAGCGCCGGCCCTGTGCCCTGCCCTGCTTGCTTGCTTCACTGCCTGTGGTGAGGTGATGCTGTAGCTGCACCACAGTTACATTCACAGCCATAACCTGGCTATAGATCTCTTAATGACCACCAAGTTAGGAACATTACAGGCTTTCATAAAAGATCTTTACACACAATGTCATTGCACACAACCAGTTGATTCAATTGCTTATTCTTTGGGGTTCAGCCCTCTTGTTCTCCCCTTGGGGTATGTGACGAGGTGTACATACCCCATGCTGGACCAGAAGGGGTTAAAGGGCAATACTGGGCCCAGAGCACGGGCCGACTGGAGAGGAAACGTACAAGGGCACAACTTAGCTCAGAAGGGGGAGGCTGGGGAGGAAGATGGACCTACTCTGAGGGTACCAAAGAAGCCACCCCTGAGAAAGACAACTGTGTGCTGAGCCCATTGGGGCTGAAGCTTTAGTTATCTTTCCTTTTCTTTTGCTATCCTATATTGGACTTGGAGGTGTGGGGGAGATGGAAGTGACCCAGTAAGGCAGCTCCGAGGGCACTCCAGAGTTCTGGACATTGTTGTCTCTCATGGGGCCCTGGGAGTGGGAGGGCCCGGGTTCCCCTGCCAACTGCATTTGGTGCTGGAGGGGCATAAATCTAATTTCTACCCCCGCCAAGAAAGGGGAGGGTGAGGATGTTGAAAACCCTGAGGTGAAGCCACATCCATAGTAAGGAACTGGACTGAAACCCCTTCCTGTGGGAGGTTTGAGACTGGAAACTGGGTGCGCTACCCACTAGGCCACCTGGTCTTCTGGGGACTCTGTTACATCTGGTGGAGAATGCAGGCACACTAGGCACTGATGGTAGGCCAGAGAAAGAGGGAGATAAAAACCAAAAACCAGAGGTGGATTTTGAGAAACTGCTGAAGTGGGTTTTCCTGAACCATCAGCAGCAGGTGGCCCAGCAGCGGGAGGAGCAGCTGATTACGGAAATGGTAGAAGCACAGCAGCGGCTCATCCAGCAGATGGCGACGCTCCTACAGCCATGGAGTCTAACCATGGGAGGGGAAGCTGCTGTCCCAATACCAGCCATCCCAGTAAAGCTGACAACAATGGGTCCCGTAGACAACCCGGAGGCATTCCTTGCCACATTCGAGAGAGTTGCCATCATAGCCCGATGCCTCAAGGGAAATTGGGCCAACCTATTGGCCTACTACTTGACAGCATGCTGGGCCAGGCAGCATACTGGGGCCTCAGTGCGGCAGCTGCACAGGACTACACTCATGTCAAGGCAGCCATCCTAGGCACCCTTAACATCTCACCTGAAACCTACCAGTAGCAGTTCTGCAGTGAGAAATTCCCAGCCAAAGCCTGACCCCGGACTGTCGCCCATAATCTAAAGGATCTTGGCTGGCGCTGGCTCCAGCCCAAGGGATGCCTAGGGGTTCAGGTAGCAGGGAAGAGCGTCATGGAGCAGTTCACCCAAGTTCAGTGGCCCCATTTCGAATTGGTAGAGGAGGGGGCATATCGGGTATTGAAAGATCCCAAGTCGGGGGAGGAAAGAATGCAGCTCTGAGGACCAAGGAAGTTTCAAAGAGGGGTGCTTCAACTGGCCATGCAGCACCATGTGGGGGTCATTGGGGTGGCAGAAGACTCGTAACAGAGTGACCATGAGGTTCTACTGGCTGGGCGTCCATCCAGAGGTGTGGGACTATTATGCATCATTCCCTGAGTGCCAGTGGATGGGTCAGAAAAAGCTTCCCCCCAGTACCACTACCCATTGTAGGGTACCCTCTGATCTGGGGGGCCCATTAGAGAAGTCTGCAGTGGAGCACAAATATAGCCTTGTAATTTTAGACTATGCTACCAGCTACCCTGAGGCCATTCCCATTCCCAGCAATGGTGGCTGTCAATGCTAATGAACTCACAGAAGTATTTGCCCAAGTGGGGCTCCCCAGAGAAATACTAAGAGAGCAAGGGAGAACTTCACCTCCGAATTGATGAAGGAGCAATGGAAGATATTGGCATAGAAAGTACGCTTATTAAGGTTGCGGATGATACCAAACTGGGAGGGATTGCAACTGCTTTGGAGGATAGGGTCATAATTCAAAATGATCTGGACAAATTGGAGAAATGGTCTGAGGTAAACAGGATGAAGTTTAACAAAGACAAATGCAAAGTGCTCCACTTAGGAAGGAACAATCAGTTTCACACATACAGAATGGGAAGAGACTGTCTAGGAGGGAGTATGGCAGAAAGGGATCTAGGGGTTATAGTGGACCACAAGCTAAATATGAGTCAACAGTGTGATGCTGTTGCAAAAAAAGCAAACATGATTCTGGGATGTATTAACAGGTGTGTTGTGAGCAAGACACGAGAAGTCATTCTTCTGCTTTACTCTGTGCTGGTTAGGCCTCAGATGGAGTATTGTGTCCAGTTCTGGGCACTGCATTTCAAGAAAGATGTGGAGAAATTGGAGAGGGTCCAGAGAAGAGCAACAAGAATGATTAAAGGTCTTGAGAACATGACCTATGAAGGAAGGCTGAAAGAATTGGGTTTGTTTAGTTTGGAAAAGAGAAGACGGAGAGGGGACATGATAGCAGTTTTCAGGTATCTAAAAGGGTGTCATAAGGAGGAGGGAGAAAACTTGTTCACCTTAGTCTCTAAGGACAGAACAAGAAGCAATGGGCTTAAACTGCAGCAAGGGAGGTCTAGGTTGGACATTAGGAAAAAGTTCCTAACTGTCAGGGTGGTTAAACACTGGAATAAATTGCCTAGGGAGGTTGTGGAATCTCCATCTCTGGAGATATTTAAGAGTAGGTTAGATAAATGTCTATCAGGGATGGTCTAGACAGTATTTGGTCCTGCCATGCGGGCAGGGGACTGGACTCGATGACCTCTCGAGGTCCCTTCCAGTCCTAGAATCTATGAATCTATGATGTGCCGGGTCTCAAAGCCGGGCCTGGGAGGCCCAGACAACTGCTGCATCCTGGCCTCCACCCAGAGTCCACTGAACCCATGTGGGCCAAGGAGCTACTAGGGCTATAACCTCAGCCAAGACTCCACCCATGGGAGCCCTGATTGGAGGCTCGGCTGGCTCCACCATGTGGTCCAACCATGCTAAGCCAGAAGGAAGCACAGGAAGCTTGTCTGAGAAACAAGGTGGTTTCCTGTTGTGGCTACATTGGACACTACTTGTGCCTGTCTCCTGCACTGCTCCTGGCTCCTACCTTTGCTCCTGCCTTATGTCAACCTAACTGTGTAGTGTAGACCAGGCCTTAGGTTGACCTAATTATGTCAGTGTCTACACTACAGCCTTGATCCCGCCGATGTAAGTGCCCTACTACACCGACATAATAACTCCACCTCCACGAGAGGCGTAGGGCTTATGTCGGTGTTGTTAGGGCGACGCAGTGTCTGTGTAGACACTGTGTTCCTTACATGGGCTCCGAGCTGTGAAATTGACAAAAAAGCCCTGCTCCTGGCTCCCCAGCCAGGCTGCTGCACACTCGATCCTCACCTATCCTCCAGTTCCTGCCCTCATACCTTGCCTCCAATCCTCGGTGACCAGTCCTGGCTCTGCCTCTGACTTCTGACCCTTGACTCTGACATTTGGTATCTGACCCCGGCTCTGACCCTCAACTTCGATGTCCAGTTCTGACTCAGGCTTGACCCCCTGGTTCTGATAACTGGCAGTTGATTCTGGTGCCCTTGGCTTTATTCCCCAGCCTGTGTGGCTGCTCTGCCCACCGAACCTGACTCCTGCTCTGACTACTAGGCCAGACAGCCTATATCCCAGTCCATAACAACCTGGTGCTCAGACACCTCCTGGTTGCTGCACAGCTGCACTCTGATCAGCTTCTATCTGAGCAGCAGTCTCCTGTGGGAAAGTAAGGTCTGGCTGGACAAGGGTCATTCACAGCCCTGATTAATCTTCAGAGTAGGTCCATCCTGTGTACTGAATGAGGCAAGACTCCTGTGGAAAAAATAGTATGTGATCAGGTAATGAAAGCCTATCATAATGAATATGGGCACAGGGGTCGAATTAAGATTGCAACAGGCATTCTGGCATTTCCTACCTTTGGAGTGCTTGACTTTGCCACCTCTAATGTTCTTTTAATGTCATTTTCTGCACGTAATTATTAAGATCTGATTTTCCAACCCCTATTTCTTGGGAGTATTTTGTCTTCAGGCACAGTCCCACTGAAGTGGATGGCATTACTCAGGTGAGTAAAAGTGCACAACTGAATCTCTGATGTGCAGTTATTTTTAAAAGAGCCATCAGTGTCACCGATAAAGTGATATGGCAGCTATTGTGCATGGATTTCAGGTTCCTCACTCACTATTTATAAGTGATGGTGCTTCCTAGATCTTCACAGACAGACGGGCTGCCTTTTTTATTGTAATTGAGTCTGGATTTCCTCTTGCTTTTCTTTTCCTAGTGAAATTAAACCTGGATTTATATCGCTCACCGCACATCTCCCCAAAACGCATCAGTCCTGTTGCTATGAACATTGTGGAAAGCAACGCTGCGGAAAACAATCTGTATCTGTGCTGTGTGAAGGATAAAGGCAGCCCTGTGCTGCAGCTGGAGGTGAGTGGGATTAGCAGACCTTTAGCATCATCACAAACTCCACAGCGACTGAAATTCAATCCACATCTCTGGTTTGTATTGATACCTTTACATGGGAGTCACTGTTTTCCCTCCGATACGGTTTATGATTACTATTATCATTTAGTGCTGTTACAGTAGCGCCTTGATTCTTCATTCGAGATCAAGGCCCTGTTGTGGTAGGCACTGTGCAGTCACCTAATAAGAAGGTTCCTTCCTCAAAGATTTTATCATCTAAATACAGAAGACAAAGAGTGGAAGGAGAAGCAGAGATAAGAAGTGACTTGCCCAGGAACCCAGGTCTCCTGAATCCCAGTCTCTTGTGCCCTTGGGGTATGTCTATACTGCAGCTGGCCGCGAGCCTCCTTGTGTGGGTAGACAGACTTGCCCAAGCAGGGCTTGAGCTACTCCGCTAAAAAAGGGAGCTCGGGCCTCCAAACCCAGCTGCCCCCCTGGTTCTGAGCCCAGGTGGCTAGCCCAAGTCTCTGAGGTGCTGCCATGTTCATACAGTTATTTTTAAAGTGGTAGTTTGAGCAGAGCTAGTGCAAGCCTGTCTACCGTACTGGTGGGCTTGCTCCCAGCTGCAGTGAAAACGTATCGTTAGTGATCAAGGATTAAAACTGCAGCCATGCTTTTGCAGCTTCCATGTAGTTATTGTCTACCGTTGGGTCTGATCTCTCTTACATTGAAATCCCATTCAATAGGAGCAGGAATAGGTTCCTTGTTTGGTGGACAGTCTTTCTGAGGTGTATGAAACACCTGTGGTGTCCGGGCCAGATTCTCCTGTCTATGTGCATCAGGTGTTTTCAGTACACTCAGAGGGCCAGCATTTCACACCCACTTTTCACTGGTGTAAATGACAGCCCAAAGTGGAAGGCAGGGGAGAGTCAAGCTCAGTGCTTCCTTGGAGCAAATTCTGCTCAGGGATAGATACCCACATAACAGTTGCACAGGCACAAATGAGAGTGGACACTAGCTCTGTGTCCTAATTAGAAGCCCCTTCTCATGCTCATCCCATTGCAGGATGAAAGCCTTCCAAAGAGCATCCCTGTTTCTAACTGGCCTCTCTTATTTCTCACAGAAGGTGAAGGGGCCTATGAAAGACATCAGGACCGGGGATCAGGAGCGTTTCATCTTTTTCAAGACCAGTTCTGGTTCCACTTGCAGCTTTGAATCAGCTGCCCATCCAGGCTGGTTCCTCGGCACCTCAAAACTGAACGACAAACCTGTCAGGATGGTGAATAGAACCGGAGAGCGGGACATCACTGATTTTTATTTGGTTGAAATCTAATCCCTAGCCAGCAGTTACTGTTTAGAAGTAAATGCTTGTATGTACTACATACAGTAGGAGCATAACTATTTATGGGATCTCAGCAATTCCATATTAATTCAGTTTTATTAATTCTGTTTTTAAAATTAATTTATTAATTAAATTATTAATTTAAATTAATGAATTGAATTGTACTATATGTATCTTGTGAACCTTGTAATCAATACTTGTAATCTCTCATAACTCAAGCCTGACCCCAGATGTACAGTACCTTCCTTCTTAACTTGTGTAAATTTGATTTTAAACATTAGCATTAATTCCATATTAATTCAGTTTTATTTATTATTATTATTATTATTATTATTATTATTATTATTACGGTAGCATCTAGAGGCACCAGCCACAATGGGATGTCTCATTACTTTAGGCACTATACATATAGTTTTATTCCCTGATCATTTATAGGGACACTGTTAGATCAACTCCTGCCTCTAATATTGTTAGGTTTTCTGGGTTTTTAAATATTTTTTTACAAAATATCAACAGAAAAAAAATTGTCTTTTAAAATTCCAGTGGAAACAGGTATTTTGGGAGGGTACTTATAAGCAAATAAACCAGCTCCTGCAGTATTTGCAACCAGCACTGGTGTCTAGGGAATTGAAAACCTGAAGATGCAATTGGCTTGAAACTGATTTGTTACTAATGTGTAACTGACTAGTCTTTTCTTATTATCTGAACTGAAATGCAAAGAGAAAGTAAACATGAATAGGAAGTCGGACTCTTACAGTTTCTTGCAGTTTGAGTAATCTAAGGTAGTGATATATTTATTACAAAACTGTCAATCCCAACAGTATGTGGGTTATAAAGTAGCCATGTTATGTTGTAGAACTTAAGTTATAGTCATTATAACTATAATTATAAGTAATTATATTATTATTTATTATTGTTTCTTTATTTTTTTTATAAAGTTGGTATTTAAAAATTGTTAATTCCTTTTGTTCATTTTGGACTTGAATGTGGGGAGGTTGACCATACGCAATTCTTGCTGAAAATCCTTAGTGACTGAATTCTGGGTTTCCAGGTGCTGTTCTATGAGAGGTGGTTTTTCTTTAGGCCCTGGAGAAGGGCAATGAAGTAAACTCTAGCCCAGGGGTTCTCAACCTTTTTCCTTTCTGAGGCCTCCCCTCCCCGCCCCCCAACATGCTATAAAAACTCCCCAGCCACAACAATTGTTTTTCTGCATATAAAAGCCAGGGCTGGCATTAGGGGGAAGCAAGCAGGGCAACTGCATGGGGCCCCCACACCACGGGGGGCCCCGCAAAGCTAAGCTGCTTTGGCTTCAGCCCCGGATGCTGAGGTCAGGGCAGCATGGACTTTCTGCCCTGCGCCACAATGAGTCTAATGTCAGCCCTGTTTGGCAGACCCCCTGAAACCTGCTCGTGGACCCACAGGAGTAGGGTTACCATTCGTCCGGATTTACCCGGACATGTCCTCCTTTTTGTGCTAAAAATAGCGTCCGGGGGGAATTTGTAAATCACTCAAAATGTCCGGGATTTCCCCCCTCCCCCGGCAGAGCAGAGCGAGCGGCTGGGAGGGCTGCAGGAAAGTCACGGGCTGGACTCCGGAGCAGCTGTAGAGGAGCTCCTCCCCCCCTCCCTCCCTCCCTGCAATCTGAGCCGGCAGCTCCTCCTCCCCGGCAGCCCCGCGCCCCGCTCCAGCAGCACTGTGTAGGGCCAGGGACCGGGTTGTGTGTTGTGCTGGGGAGCGCAGCCACGTGTCCGGCTCGCACAGAGCCCAACACCCTGTTCTGAGCAGCAGGGTAAGGGGGGCAGGAGAAGGGGCAGGGAGGTTCTGGAGGGGGCAGTCAAGAAACGGGGGGGGGTCGGGAGTTCAGGGGGGGGGCTTCTTGGGGGGAGTGGAGAAAGTTTTGGGCAGTCAGGGTACAGGTAGGGGGTAGGGTCCTGGGGGGCAGTTGGGGGGGTCTTAGGAAGGGGCAGTTAGGGGATAAGGAACAGGGAGGCTTAGGTAGGGGGTGGGGTTCTGGAGGGCAGTTAGGAGCAGGGGTCCCAGGAGGGGGCAGTCAGGGGACAAGGAGCGGGTGGGTGGGTGGGGGGTTGGGAGTTCTGGGGGGAGCTGTCAGGGAGCAGGAGTGGGGAGAGGGATCGGAGCAGTCAGGGGACAGGGAGCAGAGGGGTTTAGATGGGTCGGGAGTTCTGGGGGGGGCTGTCAGGGGGTGGGGAGTGGTTGGATGGGGCGTGGGAGTCCCAGGGGTCTGTCTGGGGGTGGGGGTGTGGATAAGGGTTGGGGCAGTCAGGGGACAAGAGGCAGGGAGGCTTAGATAGGGGGTGGAGTCCTGGGGGGCAGTTAGGGGCAGGGGTCCCAGGAGGGGGCAGTCAGGGAACAAGGAGCAGGGGGAGGGTTGGGGTTCTGAGGGGGGCGGGGAGTGGAAGGGGCGGGGCTAGGGCAGGACGGGGGCGGGGCTAGGGCAGAACGGGGGCGGGGCTCCTCCCGTCCTCTTTTTTCCGTGCTGAAATATGGTAACCCTACACAGGAGGCCTCAGACCCCTGGTTGAGAACTGCTGCTTTAGCCCACCCAAAGGTTACAGAGGCTTAAAGAAAAGTCCCCAAATCATGAGAGTTGTGATAAAATTGCGAGAGGCCTGGTCTACACTAAAAAGTCAGGTCGACCCAGCTATATCACTCAGGGGTGTGAAAAATCCACATGCGAGTGACATAGTTAAGCCAATTTAACCCCAGGTGTAGACAGCATTCTTCTGTCGCCCAAGCTACTGCCTCTCAGGGGATGGGGGGGGATTAACTACACCGACTGGAAGGGATCTAGATAGGCCATGTCTACATGGAAGCACTACAGCACTGCAGCTGTGCCACTGTTGCATTTTAAGTGTACAGAAGCCCAGAGTCGGCAACACTGCTGTTCACTGGTCTACAATTTTTGAGAAGTCGTCTGCTTCAGAGATAAAATGTGCTATTTATTATGTATTTTGATGTGCTGAATTCAAATATGACAATTAAAACAACTGATTGGCTACTGTTTCTAAGATATTTAAGTTTTTACATTTTATGTCTATGTATATTGTGTAGATAGTAGAGTTTTATTCATAAATTGTAAACCTAGGTCTTTTCATGTGTTTATGGTTGCTTTACATGATAATATTTCACCTGTCCTGTTTATGTAACACTTTAAAAATCAGCAAAAAAGGGTTATATAAATAAAATTTATTATGAAACAAAAGGCAAAAAACTATTATGTACATAGTTTAGTCCTATTCAGTGTCTACTCGGCGCTTCTTGGCTTGTCTCTTGTATTCATTAAATGGAGCATCTCTTGTCACTGTCCAGCAATAGTCTGCAAGCATTGATGGGCTCCATTTGCCCTGATAGCGTTTCTCCATTGTTGCAATGTCCTGGTGAAATCGCTCGCCGTGCTCGTCGCTCACTGCTCCGCAGTTCGGTGGAAAAAAATCTAGATGAGAGTGCAAAAAATGTATCTTTAGTGACATGTTGCAACCAAGGCTTTTGTATGCCTTGAAGAGGTTTTCCACCAACAACCTGTAGTTGTCTGCCTTGTTGTTTCCGAGAAAATTTATTGCCACTAACTGGAAGGCTTTCCATGCCATCTTTTCCTTGCCACGCACTGCATGGTCAAATGCACCATCTCGAAGAAGTTCACGAATCTGAAGACCAACAAAGACACCTTCCTTTATCTTAGCTTCACTTAACCTTGGAAATTTTCCACGGAGGTACTTGAAAGCTGCTTGTGTTTTGTCGATGGCTTTGACAAAGTTCTTCATCAGACCCAGCTTGATGTGTAAGGATGGTAACAAAATCTTCCTTGATTCAACAAGTGGTGGATGCTGAACACTTTTCCTCCCAGGCTCCAATGACTGTCTTTCTTGATGTAGTGGGAATCTCTTGCACGACTATCCCATTCGCAGAGAAAACAGCAGTACTTTGTGTATCCAGTCTGCAGACCAAGCAAGAGAGCAACAACCTTCAAATCGCCACAAAGCTGCCACTGATGTTGGTCATAGTTTATGCACCTCAAAAGTTGTTTCATGTTGTCATAGGTTTCCTTCATATGGACCGCATGATCAACTGGAATTGATGGCAAAACATTGCCATTATGCAGTAAAATAGCTTGAAGACTCGTCTTCGATGAATCAATGAACAGTCTCCACTCATCTGGATCGTGAACGATGTTGAGGGCTGCCATCACACCATCAATGTTGTTGCAGGCTACAAGATCACCTTCCATGAAGAAGAATGGGACAAGATTCTTTTGACGGTCATGGAACATGGAAACCCTAACATCACCTGCCAGGAGATTCCACTGCTGTAGTCTGGAGCCCAACAGCTCTGCCTTACTCTTGGGTAGTTCCAAATCCCTGACAAGGTCTTTCAGTTCACCTTGTGTTATGAGGTGTGGTTCAGAGGAGGAGGATGGGAGAAAATGTGGGTCCTGTGACATTGATGGTTCAGGACCAGAAGTTTCATCCTCTTCCTCTTCCTCGTCTGACTCAAGTGAGAATGATTCTGGTGCATCAGGAACCGGCAGTCCTTCTCCGTGGGGTACTGGGCGTATAGCTGATGGAATGTTTGGATAATGCACAGTCCACTTTTTCTTCTTTGACACACCTTTCCCAACTGGAGGCACCATGCAGAAGTAACAATTGCTGGTATGATCTGTTGGCTCTCTCCAAATCATTGACACTGCAAAAGGCATAGATTTCCTTTTCCTGTTCAACCACTGGCGAAGATTTGTTGCACAAGTGTTGCAGCATATGTGTGGGGCCCACCTCTTGTCCTGATCTCCAATTTTGAAGCCAAAATAAAGGTGATAGGCTTTCTTAACCATAGTGGCTATACTGCGCTTTTGTGATGCAAAAGTCACTTCACCACAAACATAGCAGAAGTTATCTGCACTGTTCACACAAGTACGAGGCATCTCTGCTCACTTTGGCTAAACAGAAATGTGTCCCTTTGCAAAATCAAACACTGAC